TTGTAAACAGTCAAGATCCCCACCCTGAAACCATATATATTCTTGTATATTACAATAAAACAAATCAAATGAAATAAAAGTTGAGTCCCCTGGGGTCTACCCCCACCTTTTTCCTGTTTAAGAACTTGTAAACGGTTGAGATCCCCACCCCTAAACCATATATATTCTTGTATGGGACAATAGAACTAATCAAATGAAATATAGGGGAAGTCCATTGGGGTAACACCTATCCCCTTTTTTTTGATAACTTGTAAACGGTCAAGATTCCCACCCAGAAACCATATATATTCTTGTATGGGACAATATATCAAATCAAATGAAATATAGGGGAAGTCAACGGGGGGTATACCCTACCCCATTCTTTTTGAAAACTTGTAAACGGTTGAGATCCCCACCCCTAAACCATATATATTCTTGTATGGGACAATAAATTAAATCAAATTAAATTTAGGGGAAGTACCCTGGGATAACCCCTACTCTCCTTTTTTGTTGAAAACTTGTAAACGGTCAAGATCCCAACCGCGAAACCATATATATTCTTGTATGTTACAATAAAACAAATGAAATGAAATAAAAGGTGAGTTCCTTGGGTTCATTCCCACCTTCTTCCTGTTTAAGAACTTGTAAATGGTAGAGATCCCCGCCCCTAAACCATATATATCCTTGTATGGGACAAAAAAACAAATATGAAATAAAGGGCAGGTCCCCTGGAAAAATTAATCAGTTTGTGTGTGTTATATTTGAACATTAATTAAATATGTATAGGGTTCTTTAAGTGCTGAATCTAAACTTGTTTTTAATTAGATAATAATCTATTTTTATTATGAGATAAAGTTTTTGACATTGATAGATAAGTTGCAGATCTGTATTATTTTTTGACACATGAAAGAAACAATATTAGCAACTATTAATTAAATTTGATTATAATATGGAAATAGATATAACATCATATCTGATTTTAGAGAAGTATTTTGCTTGTTTTTTCACTGGTTTATGGAAATAAGTTTGAGTTATTTGTTTTGAAAAGTGATGTGTTTAATTGATAGATATAAAATCATATCTAATTTTAGAGATTTATGAGTGGTTAAGTCATATCTAATTGTAGAGAATTATTTTGGTGTTTTGTTACTGGTTCATGGAAATAAATTTGAGTTATTGGCGAAATATCATTGGTAAAATGTTTGAAACTTTTTTGGTAGGCTGTGTGTGTGTGTGTCTGTCTGTCTGTCTCTCTGTCTGTTTGTCCTTCAGTTTGGCAAATCAATTTGCCACACTTTTATGCCTGCGCTGTAGTTGAGGGTGCATTAAGTTTTACACTTGTCTGTCTGTAAGTACATATGCTGTATGTCCCAAAATTGGTTTTTCGTTCTCTATGGGATAATAAAACAAATCAAATGACAATATAGGGAAAGTCCATTGGGGTAACTACCACCCCCATTTCTTTTTGATAACTTGAAAACGGTCAAGATCTTAAACCTGAAACCATATATATTCTTCTATGTGACAACAAAACAAATCGCATGAAATAAAAGGTGAGTCCTCTGGGGTCACCCCCACCCCCTCCTGTTTGAGAACTTGTAAACGGTTGAGATCCCCACCCCTAAACCATATATATTCTTGTACAGGACAATAACACAAATCAAATGAAATATAGGGGAAGTCCATGGGGGTCACCCCCACCCCCTTCTTTTTGATAACTTGTAAACAGTCGAGATCCCCACCCCTAAACCATATATATTCTTGAATGGGACAATAAAACAAATCAAATGAATTTGAGGGGGAGTTTCCTGGGGTCACCCCCACCCCCCTTTTTTTAAACTTGTAAACGGTCAAAATCTCCACCCTGAAACCATATATATTCTTGTATGGGACAATAAAACAAATCAAATGAAATACAAGGTGAGTCCCCTGGGGTCACCCCCACCCCCTCCTGTTTAAGAACTTGTAAACGGTCGAGATCCCCACCCCTAAACCATATATATTCTTGTATGCAATAAAACAAATCAATTGAAATATAGGGGAAGTCCATGGGCGTCACCCCCACCCCCTTTCTTTTTGAAAACTTGTTAACAGTCAAGATCCACACCCTGAAACTATATATATTCTTGTATGGGACAATAAAACAAATCAAATAAAAAATAAAAGGTGAGTCCCCTGTGGTCACCCCCACCCCCTCCTGTTTGAGAACTTGTAAACGGTCGAGATCCCCACCCCTAAACCATATATATTCTTGTATGCAATAAAACAAATCAAATGAAATATAGGGGAAGTCCATGGGGGTCACCCCCACCCCCTTCTTTTTGATAACTTGTAAACGGTCTAGATCCCCACCCCTAAACCATATATATTCTTGAATGGGACAATAAAACAAATCAAATGAAATATAGGGTATGTCCATTGGGGTTACCACCACCCCCTTCTGCTTGAGAAATTGTAAACGGTTGAGATCCCCACCCCTAAACCATATATATTCTTGTATGGGACAATTAAACAAATCAAATGAAATTCAGGGGAAGTCCATGAGGGTAAACCCCACCCCATTCTTTTTGAAAACTTGTAAACGGTTGAGATCCCCACCCCTAAACCATATATAGTCTTTTATGGGACAATAAAACAAATCAAATGAAATAAAAGGTGAGTCCCCTGGGGTAACCCCCACCCCCTTTTTTTTGAAAACTTGTAAAGAGTCAAGATCTCCACCCTGAAACCATTTTTCTTCTTGTATATTACAATAAAACAAATCAAATGAAATAAAAGTCGAGTCCCCTGGGGTCTTTTTTGTGATTGAGTTATTTTCCTTTGAACAGAAATTGTTAATTATATGCATTAAGTTTGATTACACTAAGCCTTTATAGATAATTTTCACCTGTTTATAAGTTTGTTATTCTGTAAAAACTAATTTTCTGAATGCTATATATATTTTTTGGATTAGGTGAACTCCTTTTAAAACTTAGCTTAGGTTGTCTATTAATAAACATATATTTAGATTTCTGATTTTGGGCCCAGTTTTCAAGTTGGTCCAAATTAGGGTCCAAAATTAAACTGTGTTTGATTTCAACATAAATTGAATATATATAGGGTTCTTTGAAATGCTGAATCTAAACCTGTATTTATTTTTATTATTAGTTAGATAAAACCACATCGAGGTACTAAGGGTCCTAAATTAAACTTTTGTTTAATCAACAATTGAATTCTTGGGTTCTTTGATATGCTGATTTTAACAATGTTTGAGTGTTAAATCTGATCTAATTTAAGAGAACTTAGTCATCACTGGTTGTTGTTATTATACTATTGATTATAATTTGAAAAATTACATCATATCTAATTTTATAGAACTTAGTCATCACTTTATTCATTATAATCATATCTATTTATCAAGTTTGAGTTAGTTCCCTTTGCACAGAAAATATATGGATACAATTAAATTGTGTTTCATTTCAACTTAAATTAAATATATATAGGGTTATTTCAAATGCTGAATCTAAACCTGTATTTAAATATTAGATTTTTGGACCCAGTTTTCAAGTTGGTCCAAATCAGGGTCCAAAATTAAACTTTGTTTGATTCACAAAAAATGAATTTATGTGGTTCCTTGAAATGCTGAATCTTACCATGTTTTGAGAGATTTTGGATTGTGAGCTCCTTTATCAAATTGATCTACATTGTGGTCCAAAGGGTCCTAAATTAAACTTTTGTTTGATTTCATTGAAAAATGAATTTTTGGAGTTATTTGATATGCTGATTCTGACAATGTACTTAGATTTTGGATATTGGACCATAGTAGGTAATTAAATTAATGTCCAATTTCAAATATTTCAGTTCTTTGACCACATTCATTTTGTGTCACAAACCTATGCTGTGTCAAATATTCAACCACAATCCAAATTCAGAGCAGTTTTAAGCTTAAATGAAGTGTCCATAGTTGCTCAACTGTTCAGGGTTTGACCTCTGCAGGAAAATTCGGTTTGCTGTCACTCTGACAGCCTCTTGTTCACTTTCTAATAAAATAAATCACTCCTCGTTATCTTTGATAAAAGTTTATTTTACTTTTTTGACATACAAATACTCTCATTCATAAATTTCATCGTAAATTTCTTTAGTAATGTGTATTCAAATTTATCACGTGTATTCATCATGTTCATTGGTCATGTTTAAATAGATTCTTCTTCTCGACCAATGAAAAAATTCGTTACTTAAATGGCCAAGTGATCGCACACAGACGATGCGTAAATACAATGTATTTGCGATCTATTTCTTCAATTTTTGCACTGAAGTTTTTAAAGTTTCTACTATAAATATCTGTTTTCTTGATGATCATTTACGCTATAACCTGATTACATGTTCTGTTAAGGCTGGAACAGGTAAATCAGAGACTTTTGCTAGTTATCAGTTATTGTGCAACATTGACCGACCTCTCAGTGGTGATCAGCAACTTGACAATTTTAACCAACATTTATAATTAAAATGTGAAAATTAACACACTGCGGGATCAAGTATTAAGGGACAACGGCCAATTAAGGCGCTGCGGGATCAATGAAAATATTTTGAAGGCGCTGCAGGACCGCAGCGTCATATCCGCCTGGGGAGAACACTGTGCAATGTTTATTTTTACCTCCCACTAATAAAGCAATCTTTACCCTTCAGCGCTTACATACACTTTGATTATGTCTAATCTGCCAAATAAATTTGTTTCTCGATCACTTATTGAAAACTCATGCAGTTGTCTGTTTTGATGTTTAACAATTGTTCTTGGTTATGATGAAATGACATAGAAATCTTTTAATTGTCAAGTTATTTTCCATTTAATAAGTTAGCTTTGGATATGACATTTAAATATTTTTAATACATGTACAAGAAAAGTTGTGTCTCAAGAATTTTACATAAAAACTATTCTTATTTTATGATGTTACTATTTGTTAAACAAAAAATCAGTGTTATTCTGTATTTTTATAAGTGACTATTTATTTTTAAATATTCTTATTTTGACTTTGTATTTGTAGAGCCCTTTCCCAAAAGGAGAAGTTTATATAGGCCACTCTGATGGAGGGTATGGGGTAACAATGGGGGCCCGTGATGTGAGGTCGAGTATGGTATACGTGTTTACTCTTAATACTCCAGAAAGAGACTTTATACTTAGTGCTGACACCAGGGAAGATATGAACCAATGGATAGATGCATTCAAAGAAATACAAACAACAGAACCAACTTCCCAGGATTTAAGACGTACGTATATAAATTCCAAGATTTTGTTTTTGTCAATGCTTTGTATAACGGGAGAATTGTATGTAGTTTGTGATTTGTGAATTAATATCACCACTTATATCTCACTGTGTTACTGTATATGTAGTAATAAAATGTTTTGCTTGCTATAGTGTTTCAATTATAAGATTTGTATAAATACCTCGGTATATTTATTGGATAAATCTGATTTTTTTAAACTTTTGCAACTTTGTGACCTTTTATAAAAATTATATGATTTCAACAGCTAAATGTAGTTTCACAAAAAAAAAAAAATGTAAATTAATAAAAGGTGTTTATAACCTTCTTTAAGTTAATTTTTGTTTTGTTGTGAGGTGTTGATCTTCAATAGTGAAAGTAAAGTGAATAAGTTAATAAATTAGTTCATTAAATTACAGAGAAAAAGATGTATGATCAAACTTTAGCCATGAGAAAATAGGTATAATACCCATACTCAATATATAGCTAATTATGCATTCCCCTATTTAATGCATTTATGTATAGATCTTCACATACAACACAACACAATTTATGTTTGCTTGGCAGAACACTTGTTTTTCACATTGTTAATGTCTTTGCTTTTATCATTAAACATTCAGAATATTGGCACAAAAAAGTTAATATGATTGAACATCCCTTAATTTTCAAAAAAAGGTAAAGTTGGTTGGCTTTGATTTATCACCAATGAATGATTACAATTTAAAATTTGTCTATTGTAGGGGGTCTCATTGGGGGGTGTGATCCCGGATCCCACTTATTGCTTTGTCAGAATCCTGTATCCCGCTTATCATTGTAATAATAACTCTTGTAACTTCATGTCTCCTGCCCGACATCATTTCATGTTTTCACGCAAATAATTTGACTTTCATGTGTAACGCTTACAAAAAAATCGGCCAAGCCCGAATCACACTTACACCCCAATGTGACCCACATTGTAGTTTGCCATCTTTCAAAGAACTGGTCAGAAATCACTAGCATATTATGACGCTATTCCATGTGGATTACAAACTGATTGTCCTTTTCCAGGTTTTAATATTCATGTCAATCTAATCATTAAGAACAGAAAATAGTTTCACGTTAGAAGCACTTGAAAGTTTAATTGCTTCTATTCGGTTTTGATCTAAAGTCTTAAAGACTTATATAGAACAAATGGGAAATTATATTCATGCTAAGAATCTATACACTTTTACTTATCTCCATTGAATTTTAGATTTTTATTGGTTCATTCAAAATTTGATAATGCAGGCTTTGTTAAAGGTAAATAATTCTTCAAAAAATCTCTGGGAACATATGGAAAGAGCTTCTTTTTTGAGAATGTTTCTCAGATTGAATTCATGATATTTTTATAGGAATAGATTGATTGTTTGATGCTTGCTTGGTGTCCTGTGGCAAATATTTCATGCATGTTCAGGAAAAAAAATACACAAATTAAACAATACATGAGATTTGTGGGTACTGCATAATGGATCAAGCAGGTTAGAGGACTTGATATTTGGACTGCCACTGGAAAAAGAGGGCATACATTCCTGCAGTCTTCTGAACAATTGGAATTTTGGCCTCTTACAAACTCCTCAGATGAGTTGCAAGGTTCCTTTTACATGCAGAGATCATGATACCGGGGCACTCTTAACTTGGGGTCTTGAAATTATCATTCCTTATTCCTGCATATGTATACATCCATCACAACTAAACTGATACTCCCTCAGAATGAGTATTGCTTCCTGACAGGGAAAGTCCAGGTAACCTAATTTCTGTAACCCCAGTTCCTCAATCAATAAGACAACAACAAAATAATACAATTAAACATAAACATAATAAAAGTAGAAGCTAACAGAATGAGTTATTGATTGATGGAAGAGCCTGTTTTAATATATAATCAAAGAATGCAGGTAGCTACCTGGTAAGTGTTCCTGGAAAATTGCCAAGAAATATCACCCATAGTCCCATACTATGAAAATAGTAAAAACAGAATTTGATTGAATGCATCCTTACAGTGAATATCGATGATAAGATTTTAATTGAATATGCATGAAAATACTATATTATACTTACATGTTAAAACAGTTTATTATGTAGATATAAGTATGCAAAAAATTAACCATCACACTTCACTCTTTAACACCACTCTTGCTGAAAATTGCTATGTTATTGTAAATACTAACACAAATATAAGCTTTTTAATAAATTAACATTAATTATAGCATTATGTTAGTCGTATTTGGTCTTCTGTAAAATGAGCTATTGTAAAACACAGATCAAAGCAAAACTAACCTATAATATTGATTCTACCAGAACATTTTTAGCTCACCTGACCTGAAAGGTCAAGTGAGCTTTTCTCATCACTTTGCGTCCGTCGTCCTGCGTCCGTCGTCCGTCGTCCGTAAACTTTTACAAAAATCTTCTCCTCTGAAACTACTGGGCCAAATTTGACCAAACTTGGCCACAATCATCATTGGGGTATCTAGTTTAAAAAATGTGTCCGGTGACCCGGCCAACCAACCAAGATGGCCGCCATGGCTAAAAATAGAACATAGGGGTAAAATGTAGATTTTGGCTTATATCTCTGAAACCAAAGCATTTAGAGAAAATCTGACATGGGGTAAAATTGTTTATTAGGTCAAGATCTATCTGAATCGGACAACCTGTTGTTGGGTTGCTGCCCCTGAATTGGTAATTTTAAGGAAATTTTGCCGATTTTGGTTATCATCTTGAATATTATTATAGATAGAGATAAACTGTAAACAGCAATAATGTTCAGCAAAGTAAGATCTACAAAGAAGTCAACTTGACCAAAATGGTCAGTTGACCCCTTAAGGAGTTATAGCCCTTTATAGTCAATTTTTAACCATTTTTCGTAAATTTTTGTAATCTTTTACAAAAATCTTCTCCTCTGAAACTACTAAGACAAATTTAACCAAACTTGTCCACAATCATCATTAGGGTATCTTGTTTAAAAAATGTGTCCGATGACCCCGCCCGTGAAGCAAGATGGCCGACATGGCTAAAAAATAGTACATAGGGTAAAATGCAGTTTTTGGCTCATATCTCTGAAACCAAAGCATTTAGAGCAAATCTGATGAGTATAAAATTGTTCATTAGGTCAAGATCTATCTGCCCTGAAATTTTCTTACCAATCAGGCAACCCGTTGTTGGGTTGCTGCCCCTGAATTGGTAATTTTAAGGAAATTTTGCAGCTTTTGGTTATTATCTTGAATATTATTATAGATAGAGATAAACTGTAAACAGCAATAATGTTCAGCAAAGTAAGATCTACAAATAAGTCAACTTGACCAAAATTGTCAGTTGACCCCTTAAGGAGTTATTGCCCTTTATAGTCAATTTTTAACCATTTTTCGTAAATTTTTGTAATTTTTTACAAAAATCTTCTCCTCTGAAACTACTAAGACAAATTTAACCAAACTTGTCCACAATCATTATTAGGGTATCTAGTTTAAAAAATGTGTCCGATGACCCCACCCGCAAACCAAGATGGCCGACATGGCTAAAAAATAGTACATAGGGTAAAATGCAGTTTTTGGCTCATATCTCTGAAACCAAAGCATTTAGAGCAAATCTGACATGGGGGTAAAATTGTTCATTAGGTCAAGATCTATCTGCCCTGAAATTTTCAGACCAATCAGGCAACACATTGTTGGGTTGCTGCCCCTGAATTGGTAATTTTAAGAAAATTTTGCAGCTTTTGGTTATTATCTTGAATATTATTATAGATAGAGATAAACTGTAAACAGCAATAATGTACAGCAAAGTTAGATCTACAAATAAGGCAAATGACCAAAATTGTCAATTGACCCCTTAAGGAGTTATTGCCCTTTATAGTCAATTTTTTACAATTTTCATAAATTTTGTAAATTTTTGTAAATTTTTACAAAGTATTTTCCACTGTATCTACCGGGCCAAGTTCATTATAGATAGAGATAATAGTAAGAAGCAAGAATGTTCAGTAAAGTAAGATTAACAAACACATCACCATCACCAAAACACAATTTTGTCATGAATCCATCTGTGTCCTTTGTTTAATATGCACATAGACCAAGGTGAGCGACACAGGCTCTTTAGAGCCTCTAGTTTATGTTTACAAAAACATAAGAAAATCAGAAATATTTTTTTCTGGATGGGATGTGAATTGTATTTGGCTTATAATATATGGCTGCAGTTATTTACAAGGTACAGGTAATGATTATCACTGTTATGTCCATGCATTTTCTTTGATCAGAAGTAATCCATGATATGATATGTTACTTGCAAAGCCTGGTATATCTGATTAAGCTTAAATTGTTATGTTGCTGTCTTAGCTTCCTGTCACCATTGTATTTAAAGAGACTAGAAACAAAACCCTACATACTACTCAGATGATTTAAATGTCTAGACTGTATCTGTGCTACAGGTGTCCTCTGTTATGTTTAATTAAACAATTTTGGTTTAAACAGATCTTTACAAATTTCTTCGAAATAAAAGAAAATCCTGCTGATACTAGTGTGCATGTTTTTTCCACATTTAACTTTGATAACAAGGTAACCAAATTCATCATTTTTAGTACTAGAATATTTTTCGGAAACATTGGAATACTGTTTTGAATATGAATAAACGAGTCAGCTTTTTAGGATAACTTTTTATTTAAAGAACACATTTTTTTTTGAAAATTACTGAAAATTTAAAAAAAAAATTTCAATGTTTTTCTTGTTGCAAAAATATGATGGAATAAGCATTACATAAGTAAGAATTTGCATTTTCAATTCTTTTAGTATCATTTGTATGCATTTTAAAATTGTTTTTTAAGAAATCATGTTTATTAATCTTGGCTTTTTTGTCCACATTAACAAATGCATGGAATATTTTCTGAAATTACAATAATGTTCCTTCCAACAAAGACTAATATATTATGTTAGTGTAATAGTCCCAGCTTCCAATAGCTATCCCATCAATCCTTTCTTGTTTTGCTCTTCATAAATTCAATGTGATTAATCCAAAGTCTGCTTTAGCTGACCAAATTTCAATTTTGTTTGTTGCACTTATAAATTATTCTTAGTATTAACAATAAATTTGTGTATATGTAGTTAAATTTTAAAAGTATGCTTAGTATGTTTTTCTTTGTACTGTTCTATAACTTAAATAATTTAAAATAACTGTATTTGTTTACTTATTTTTTGTTTGTTTTGCAGTGTTACGAATGCTGAACAATAATTCATGAAAGAGACGTCAGCTTTACAAAAGACAATTAAGATAGACGATTATGTATAATAATGTGTTCATATTATAAAAATCCATATGTACAAAGTGTCATCTTTTTGTAAACAGTATATTTATTTAATGTTGGTTTTGTTGTTATAAAAGATGTCTGGAGAAGCAACACAAGTTCTACATACTTTATACCTAACCTAGTTATTGGACATATAGTGTATTTATAATGGGTGATGGAACATGGTTTAATTCGAATTGTCTCTTGTTCTGCATAGAAAATCTCTACTAAAACCTATGTATGTTCCTTTCCTCACAACAAATTTATTAAATGTGTATGTCTGGTTGGTCCTATACTTTGTTAAAGTATAAATTATGTTGCTTTTGCAGACGCATAAGTAAGTAGTTTTGCACTGCTTTTAAAAATACCATTTGAAGGCCATTATCTGATTAAATATACTGGACTTCTGGGATAGGGACAGTTGAAAATCTAATAGATGTTCATTGAAAAAAATTGACAAACATTCTATCCCCCCACCCTCCTCCCCCTGTGTGGAGGTGACATTACCCATAAGTTGATATTTAGTGCAGACTATGCCTTGTTGACAGTTACTATGACAATCTTTCTGAAGTAATCATGTGACAGGTGAGTGTAAAATGAGATAATACCTGAAAAGCAGACTATCTCCTTGTTTCTGTATAAGTTGTGGCAATTGTACTTTTGGCCACTTGTTTCTATAGTTATCTCAAATGAGTTTTTATTGTGTGTATTCGATTGACATGTGCTCTGACATGCCTGATTTCACATGGCTCCATAGACACATCTGGCAACCAGACAAATAAAACATGTTCAATCTTATCATGGAATGAGTGGCAAGGAATAGGTTCTAGTTGTGATGATCCTTAATCAGATAATTAACTTTCCATGGTATTTTTATTTTTCAATGCAGTTTAAAAGATGAGTGCAAGATAAAGAACAATTTTATTTTGTAAAAACACTCCAAAAAAAAAAACTCAGCCACTTCCTTAATAACAGGACAAATCTGTAAAATAGGTCAGAAGTTACTGATTGAAATATTGTTGTTAATGTTTAATTTATATATATATTGTAAACTTGTAAAACTATTTATGAGAAATTGAAATTTGATAACTGTTTCATCGGAAAAAATGACAGAAGTATTAGAAAAAAATCATTGAAATCACAGTCATACATACATTGTATTTAAGAGTATGCAATTTCTAAGTTTTAAAGACAATTTTTACTATTTTTTTAATTTCATCAAATTCATACTTTAAATCATTTTATTTATCAAATTGAGTTCTGAAGTTTTAAGACCTTAAACTACATTTTAATTTGATAGCTTGTGTAAATAAGAAAAACAGTGTTGATATATATGATTTAAGTTATCTCCCCTTTAAAACTGATTAAGGTATTGATTGGAAAAATCATCTTGAAAAATATGTAAAAAAGCTGCTTAAACTATTGAAACTATTGAACAGACATTAAAATTACAAATGTCATTGTAAATGGATGTTTAAATGGTCAATTTACATATATTTAAATCTAATTACCAAATGAGAATGATATAAGCCTGTCTACTCTCAAAATATTTTGTGTTATCAGATTGAGAATTGTTTTGCTTAAATTTGTATCTGTTCCCTTATGTATGTTTATGTGTTGTGGAAAAATTGTGTAATTTGTCATTTTACCAAGGCTTGAAATCTCTAATTTGGTATAAAAGGGCATTGACAAATTTGCAATAGGTTTCTGTCAAATGTGTAATGTCCCTTCTGAATGTAAACATTTTAGTTTTTATACGACCGCAAAAATTAAAAATTTTTTGGCGAATATTGGTATGACGTTGGCGTCGTCGTCGGCGTTGTCGTCGTCGTCGTCGTCGTCTGGCGTCGTCCGAAGACACATTGGTTTTCGCACTCTAACTTTAGTTTAAGTGAATGGATCTCCGTGAAATTTTACCATAAGGTTCAATACCACAAAAGGAAGGTTGGGATTGATTTTGGGGGTTATGGTACCAACAGTTAAGGAATAAGGGGCCAAAAAGGGGCCAAAAATAAGCATTTTTGTAACTTCCAGACATAACTTGTGTGTTAGTGTATGGATCTCTCTGACATTGTACCACAAGGTTCCATATCACAAAGGGATTGCTGGGATTGGTTTTGGGGGTAATTGCCTCAAAATTTTAGGAATTAGGGGCCAATAAAGGGGCAAAAAACAAGCATTTTTCTAGTTTCATGATAATAACTTGTGTGTAAGTGTATGGATCTTTCTGAAATTGAACTACAAGGTTCCATATCACAAAGGGAAAGCTGGAATTGAGTTTGGGGGTAATTGCCCAAAACATTTAGGAATAAGGGGCCAAAAAGGGGCCAAAAATAGCATTTTTATAGTTTCCAGACAATTACTTGTGTTCAAGTGTATGGATCTCTCTGAAATTGTACTGCAAGGTACCATACCACAAAGGGAAGGCTGGGATTGAGTTTGGGGGTGATGAATCATAAGGGGTTTCAAAAAATTGGGGGGGGGGGGGGATTTTTTTTTTTTCATTTTTTTTCTTTTTTTCCTTTTTTTTTCTTTTAAAATTTTCCATTTTAAGTTGGTTATTTCTGATTTATATTTAAAAGCAAATAATAATGATATGGTAGGAGATACACACCAAACAGGATGTGTAAATTATTATATAATAAGTATTGTGCAATAGCAAGAAATTTTCAATTGCACAGTATTGCACAATAGCAAGAAATCTTTCATTGCACAGTATTGCGCAATAGCAAGAAATCTTCAATTGCACAGTATTGCGCAATAGCAAGAAATATCCAATAGCACAATATTGCGCAATAGCAAGAAATTGTCAATTGTACAGTATTGCGCAATAGCAAGAAATATTCAATTGCACAGTATTAATTGCTTATTTCTTGACCAATTTCAATGGGGTTTTATTCTTGAATTCTTGGGGTTCTTTAATATGCTGAATCTAACCGTGTATTAAGTTTTTGGATTTTGGGCCCCGATTTTAAATTGGTCCACATTGAGGTCCAAAGGGTCCAAAATTAATATTTGTTTGATTTCATCAAAAATTGAATTATTGGGGTTCTTTGATATGCCAAATCTAACCGTGTATTTAGATTCTTAATTTTTGGTTCCGTTTTCAAATTGGTCTACATTAAGGTCCAAAGGGTTCAAAATTAAACTTAGTTTGATTTTAACAAAAATTGAATTCTTAGGGTTCTTTGATATGCTGAATCTAAACATGTATTTAGATTTTTGATTATGGGCCCAGTTTTCAAGTTGGTCCAAATCGGGGTCCAAAATTAAACTTTGTTTGATTCAACAAAAATTGAATATATGGGGTTCTTTGATATGCTGAATCTAACCATGTATTTAGATTTTTGATTTTTGGGCCCCGTTATCAACTTTGTCCACATTGATGTCAAAAGGGTCCTAAATTAAACTTTGTTTGATTTCATCAAAAATTGAATTCTTGGGGTTCTTTGATATGCCGAATCTAACCGTGTATTTAGATTCTTAAATTTTGGTTCCGTTTTCAAATTGGTCTACATTAAGGTCCAAAGGGTTCAAAATTAAACTTAGTTTGATTTTAACAAAAATTGAATTCTTAGGGTTCTTTGATATGCTGAATCTAAACATGTATTTAGATTTTTGATTATGGGCTCAGTTTTCAAGTTGGTCCAAATCGGGGTCCAAAATTAAACTTTGTTTGATTTCAACAAAAATTGAATATATGGGGTTCTTTGATATGCTGAATCTAACCATGTATTTAGATTTTTGATTTTTGGGCCCTGTTATCAACTTTGTCCACATTGAGGTCAAAAGGGCCCTAAATTAAACTTTGTTTGATTTCATCAAAAATTGAATTCTTGGGGTTCTTTGATATGCTGAATCTAACCATGTATTTAGATTTTGGATATTGGACCATAATAGGTGAATGTCCAATTTAATAAAAAAATTTAAGTTCTTAGACCACATTCATTCTGTGTCAGTAACCTATGCTGTGTCAAATATTTAATCACAATCCAAATTCAGAGCTGTATCAAGCTTGAATGTTGTGTCCATACTTGCCCCAACTGTTCAGGGTTCGACCTCTGCGGTCGTATCAAGCTGCGCCCTGCGGAGCATTTTATTATATCTGTTTTGATAATTTTAAAACAGAGTAGATGATGGGTTGGGAATTGATGATAGGAAGAAAATAGAAATTCTGATTCAGTCCATGATGGCAGCAGATGGCTGCTTGGTGAGTGAAATGGTGTAGACTAACAGCTAAGATACTGCAGCTTTATAGAATGATTTAACATTCTATAAAGCTATAGAAAGTTACAAATACATTTTTAGTTCACTACAATAATGTTGAGGAAGAACTATTAAGAGTTTCTTGGGTATTACTTTGCCAATGAATATTCAAATAGGTATGTAAAAACAGCTAAGGGAGACAAATTTTGTGTTGCAAGAAGGTTTTGTGACCCATATTTCATGGTTCAATGTCTTAGGTTATGGTTCATTTTCAAGTTGAATTTGTTAAAGTTTAATATCAGCATCCAGGCAAACATAGGTTACTGTCACCTACAGTTTATGCTTCATTGACTTTGTTTAGATTTAAGTTTAATTTCATATCTCAGAGATTATAAGTAATAGGATCATCTAACATTTAGCAAAGATGGACATAGGGGAATACATAGGTATATTCAGGAAAAGAATGTCACTGTGACCTACATTTTATGTGCCATTGACTTGTGTTACTTCTAGTTCATATTTTGGTACCTATAAGTAAGAAGATCATATTAAGTTGTACAGAGTTGCATCTTTAGGAGTAGATCATCATCTAGACAAATGCAAGTCACCAAGTATTAGAAATATTGGTCCATGCAGTTTGACATGAAATCATTTCACATATAAGCAGAATAAATCGAAAAGTGTAATTGTTTACCTGTCTGTATGTTTTTGTGATAGCAAACATTTTCTGAACACTCATTTAACAATTACTATAAGAAAATGTGTTGTTCAGGAATAGGAAATGAATGTATTAATTTTCTTTTAAAGGTATTTAAACCTTAAGTTAATTTATGTACTGTAAATGTTGAATTTGTTTTACTTACAAGTCATTAAAACCTGTCAATACTGAGCAGACAACTGTCCAGCATGTCAGATTAGACAGGTTTAACTATGTAATATTTTGTTAAGAATTGAAACACATGATCAAAATAAAATCAAGATCTGGGAAAAAGAGATCTGTTAAATTAAGATATAAACAAAATATGACAGCTATTAGGACCAGAGAATAAATGATCTCTGGGTTAGGGTTTCCTGAATTTTGAAAATTCTTGTAACTAATTGTTAATAATTGATTTAAATATTGATAAAAAAAAAACAAGTCACCCTATGCAAAAAAAATACTTATCTCATGATACAACTGCTTTTTTGATGAATGGGTTACAGTCTCAAAACACTTCAAGTTATTGGTGACATTTTTTGATATCTTAAGAATATGCTGAGTAAACATACAAATGAATAGATCATTGTACTCATAGACATACCATACTGAGAGATAATACATTTTATGCTAAGAGTGTATTTTTTTAAAAATAATGTTATATTGAACTCTGATGTTTTCAGATTATTTTTTAATGCCATATCTGATTGTCTTCCACTTTGATGATACATTCCGAGATTTTTTACAATTTTATTTGTTTTGTGAGCTTTTTATAAATGATCTCACATGAATAGCATGTACTTCCTACATTCTCTTGTGTTTTATATTTTTTCTTTTCTTGTTTAGGTCATATAACTACTTATTTTTTTACTTCAGGTTGGCATCTGTGTTTAATGTCAAATTGCTAACATTAGTCTATCAAATTAAGTTGTTTGCCCCCGCTGCAGGGGAGGGGGCCTTAAGTGTTACCCTGGTCCGTCTGTATGTTTGTACAAACATACGTCTGTACATACGTCCCGAAATTAGTTTCTGTTCTCTTTCATAAGTTTGCATCTACCAAATGGTTTGAAACATATACACTATGCTTATTACCACAAAACTCAGATCACAAGTTCGAATTTGGCTGGCGTCACTTTTACTGTTCTTGAGTTATGCCCTTTATAACGTTATATGCAATCAGGGGCATCATCTGTGTACCATGGACACATTCTCCATTTATTTTTATTTTATTCCCTAAATACATTGTTATACCTTTTAACTTTTGACATTATGTTCTGCAGATATTGTATTTTGAATTTTTTAGCAATTGATTCTACTATTACACCTATCATAGTTTCTTTTAAAAATAATCTGAATAAGGTAAAGGTTAATCTACATATCTACAGTGCCTGACAGGAATTTCCAGCCTAGATCAAAATTTCCCTTACCATTTTTATAAAACTACTAGTTTTCAAAAGTATATTTTTTACATGGAAAACCCCTACTTACTAAGTGGATATATATTTTAAGTCTACATTTTTATGCCCCCGCCGTAGCGGAGGGGGCATTAAGTTTTACCCTTGTCCGTCTGTACGTACGTCTGTCCGTACATCCCAAAATTGGTTTCTGTTCTCTAACTTAAGTTTGCCTCAACCAAATGTTATGAAACTTATACACAATGCTTATTAACACAAAACACAGGTCATTTTTTGAATTTGGGTGGCATCACTTTTACCGTTCTAGAGTTATGCCCCTTTTACAGATGGAAAAATTGCTGAATTTTTCATTTCCGTTCTCTAACTTTAGTTTGCCTCAACCAAATGTTTTGAAACTTATACACAATGCTTATTACTACAAAACACAGATCAAGTTTGAATTTTGGTGGCGTCACTTTAACCGTTCTAGAGTTATGCTCCTTTACAAATGGAAAAATTGCTGAATTTTTCGTTTCCGTTCTCTAACTTCAGTTTGCTTCAACCAAATGTTATGAAACTTATACACAATACTTATTACCACAAAACTCAGATCAAGTACAAATTTGGGTAGCGTCACTTTTACAGTTCTTGAGTTAGTCCCTTTATAACGTTATAAGCAAGCCGGGACATCATCTGTGTCCCATGGACACACTCCCCATTTATTTTTCTTCAGTTTGTCTACCTTTTGTATCAGCCTTCTAAATTTTTTTTTTTTTTCAATTTCTAAATTATTAAACTCTTAAGCTCTAAAAAGGGGCTGAAGGACCTTTTTCGTGATGTCGGGATCTGGCCTTTATTTTTGCAGGACTTCTGGATTGGGTCCTTATTTTTTGGTAGCTTCACTTTTACAGTTCTTGAGTTAGTCCCTTTATAACGTTATATGCAAGCGGGGACATCATCTGTGTCCCATGGACACACTCCCCATTTATTTTTCTTCAGTTTGTCTACCTTTTTGTATCAGCCTTCTAAATATTTTTTTTTTTTTTAATTTCTAAATTATTAAACTCTTAAGCTCTATAAAGGGTTCTGGCCTTTATTTTTGCAGGACTTCTGGATTGGGTCCTTATTTTTGCAGGAATTCATGATTTACACCTATGAAGACTCAGGAATAATCCTGGAAAGAAGAATTTATTTTTTCAGGAATTTGGGATGACACCTTCTCCTACCGCCACTCTCTACAATTAAAATAAAAAGGTGTCAAAAACTGAAATGTGTAATGCTCAAGTTATTACATCCATATGTGAAAGTTACATGATGCAATAATTTTTTTTAATATTGTACAAACAATTCACAATTAAGAACAGCCTTTCAGATTAAACACAAGCACTACAGCCCCAGACCAATAAGTATGGTAAAAAAGTTGTAGGACCAGTAAAATTTTTCCGATAGAAGGCCTCACAAGCCATATGAATTTCAAGAAACTTTATGAAAGACTTGTTTTCGGACTTTTAAGTCAGAAGGTTTTTCATGAAGACCAAGAAATTGAGGGGGAAAAAAAGTTGCGGCAGTAGATTTAAAAACTTTATACTTATATTTTATATTCAGGTAAAAAATATAGCTGTCAGCTAGTAATACAGGTAGTCAAGTTTTTGTTATTTCTTTTTAATGCAGATATCGTTGCTCTTCTTTTAGAGTTAAATTTGTAATGTAAATTTCTTAAACATGTGTTAAAATTAGGTGCTACAAAATGAACAAATAATACACAATATATGTATATATGTATTATTATATCTACACAAATTTATACAAACATTTATAAAAAGATCAAATTATATATTTTATTGAACATTTTTGTAAATAAACAACATTCATTATCCATAGTCTTTGTGTTTACTGAACATAATTATTAAATATTTATTATAATTATTAATAGCTTTTTATAGCTTTTTATGCAGTATAGGTTTTGCTCATTGTTGAAGGCCCAACAGTGACCTATAATTGCTAACTATAACATCATTTATTCTCTGGTAGTTTGCAATCATACCATTCCTTCCTATCTTTATATAGAAAGCATCAGGATATCTGTATGAACCTTGTTTGATGTTTGGCAAAGTTATTTCTATTTTTGGGAGATTTTGTGACTTGGCAACTGATTCTTAATTTTTATCTTTGCCAGAAAATGAATTTGTTTCTTTTGCTTGACCAAAGAATCATGTGACACATTGTCAGGATCAGCGACTCTTTTTACAAAAAATCTTATGATTAAAATTGATTGTAAGTTATACTGAAATGTGTATGACTTACGAGTGTTTTTACTCTTAAGATTTTTTGTGAAAAGAGCCGCTGACTGATAAATAATAATGTATATATAAAAAAGTTAGCACATTTGGTGAAATTTTGCAGCTACTTGATATTTTCTCCTGTATTCCTCTCAGTTCTTAAACTAATCTGTATAATGAGGTTTTGTAGGTTTTGCAAATCTACTTCCTGTTTGACAATCTATGGATTTTATGGCCCCGCCGACCTAGGTAGGGGGCATATAGTGTTACCCTTATCAATCAGTTATACAGACATTTTTAGCTCACCTGGCCCGAAGGGCCAAGTGAGCTTTTCTCATCACTTGGCGTCCGTCGTCGTCGTCCGTCGTCGTTAGCTTTTTACAAAAATCTTCTCCTCTGAAACCACTGGGCCAAATTTAACCAAACTTGGCCACAATCATCATTAGGGTATCTAGTTTAAAAAACGTGTTTGATGACCCCTCCAACCAACCAATTTGGCTAAAAATAGAACATAGGGGTAAAATGTAGATTTTGGCTTATATCTCTGAAACCAAAGCATTTAGAGTAAATCTGACAAATGATCAAACTGATTATCAGGTCAAGATCTATCTGCCTTGAAATTTTCAGACAAATCTGTCAACCTGTTGTTGGGTTGCTGCCCCTGAATTGGTAATTTTAAGGAAATTTTGCAGTTTTTGGTTATTATCTTGAATATTATGATAGATAGAGATAAACTGTAAACAGCAATAATGTTTAGCAAAGTAAGATCTACAAATAAGTTGGGATGACCAAAATTGTCAGTCGACCCCTTTAGGAGTTATTGCCCTTAATAGTCAATTTTTAACAATTTTTTGTAAATTTTTGTAATCTTTTACAAAAATCTTCTTCTCTGAAACTACTGAGACAAATTTAGCCATACTTGGCCATAATCATTATTAGGGTATCTAGTTTAAAAAATTTGTCCGATGACCCCGCCTTCCAACCATAATGGCCGACTTGGTTAAAAATAGAACATAGGGGTAAAATGCAGTTTTTGGTTTATATCTCTGAAACTAAAGCATTTAGAGCAAATCTGACAGGTGGCAAAAATGTTCATCAGATTTAGATTTATCTGCCCTGAAATTTTCAGACGAATCCGACAACCCGTTGTTGGGTTGCTGCCCCTGAGTTAGTAATTTTACAAAAATTTTGCAGTTTTTTGTTATTATCTTAGATATCATTATAATATCTAATATCTAATACTATTAATTATGATTTTAACCTTATTTTAATTATTTCCAAAGCATCAGTAAATACAGGTGAGCGACACAGGCTCTTGAAAGCCTCTAGTTTCTTAACGCCTTCACATATTGAGCTGATGTCTAGTAAGATTCTACTATGATGAGTTACAGACTAAGTTTACGTTTGGTTCCACTCCGCTGTTTTTTGCCGAAATTATTGACTTTGGACTTTGAAAATTTCGTGACAATAACGGTTATACAGACTTATTCTCTAAAACCCCTTCACATATTGAGCTGATTTTTAGTATGTGAGTCTACTATGATGAGTAACAGATCAAGTTTACGTTTGGTTCTGCTCTGCTGATTTTTTGCCAAAATTACAGGCGTTGGACTTTTAAAATTTACACTCCTATAAATGGCTTCAAGCTTTTTTTGCGATTGGGGCCATTTGTGTTATTCTGACACATTTACTTTTTGAATGATATACTGATACAGAAAGTTTTAAGGGAGCTACCATTTGATTTTTAGGGGGGGGGGGGGGGGGGGGGGGGCTAGGATGAAATTTGAAAAAAATAGGCAGGAGTTTGGAGTAAAAAAAAAGTCAGGATGAGGCACTTGTAAAAAAAAAAGTCAGGATGACAATTTAGGTAAAAAAAAGTCAGGGTAAACTAAAAAAAAAGGCAGGACCGAATAGAGGAAAATAAAAAGGCAGGATAGAGATTACAACTAAAAAAAAAGGCAGGACAACATTTTTCATCCTAGCCCTCCCATAAAAATCAAATGGTAGCTCCCTAAGCAACAGAAAACCACAACTGCATGTACTTGAAATTGAAGGGTTTTTTTTGTCAACTGTATGTAACATGTGGTACATTTTAGACCAGGCATATGTCTACTTATAATCATATAATCCGGCTGGCCACGTTATTACCGGAGACCTCAACATTGTCAATAACACTTCCCTGCAAAATTTGTTATCCAAAGGTCCGAAATATCGTGAGCCTAAATCCATCAATTGGAATTACAACTTCAAAATACTGATGGATTCAGTCAAGGATTATGCCAGGCAATGGGCTAAACGCGAGAAAGAAGACGTAGATACTCTTTCTGAATGGATTAAGGCTGTGAGGTCGTTGATACAAATCCGAATTAAGAAACTAAATGGGTCTATCAATACCCACGCTACGTCAATTTTTAAAGACCCAAATGTTGCAAAACACTTGTCCTACCTCCATGACAAATACGTTGTTGTCCCCGTTAGATAGGCCCCAAACAACATCGTTTACGTGTGTGAATATCATTACATAAACTGCTTAAAATGTATTAGGTATTGACAATTCATTTGGAAACTCAACATATACCCTCATGACACTTACCAAAGAGGAAATCCTGGTTATCATAGGTCTGTTCTATGTTCCTTTGGAATTTCAACCAAAGATGAAGAACTGGATCTTCCATCACTGTATTGGATACCTAAACTACATAAGTGTCCTTACAAACAACGGTATATTGCTGGGTCTTCCAAGTGCTCCACGAAACCTCTTTCTAAATTATTAACATCTATTTTATCAGCAATCAAAGCCGGGCTCCAAAGTTATTGTGAAACTACCTATTCTAGAGGTGGCGTGAATCAGATGTGGATACTAAAAAATTCCAAAGATCTTTTAGAGTACATACAATCAAAGACTCTCTCATCTTGCAATAGTATTAAAACATTTGACTTTTCTACACTTTACACAAGTATTCCCCATTCCAAACTAAAAGACAAATTGAAAGAGTTGGTATTACTTTGTTTCATTAAAAAGAATGGCGAACGTAGATACAAGTATCTTGTCTTGGGGAGGGATAAATCCTACTTTGTAAAGAATCACTCTGATTCAAACAAAAAAATCTCTAAAACTGACATTGTCAAGATGCTTGATTTCTTGATTGACAACATATTTGTTACGTTTGGAGGACGTGTTTTTCAACAGACTGTTGGAATTCCAATGGGAACCAATTGTGCCCCTCTTCTTGCCGACTTGTTTCTTTATTATTATGAGGCTGACTTCATACAGGAACTTCTTAGGAAGAAAGATAAGAAGTTAGCAATATCCTTTAACTTTACGTTTCGCTATATAGATGATGTTCTCTCAATAAATAATACAAAATTTGGTGACTATGTTGAACGAATCTATCCAATCAAACTAGAGATAAAGGATACTACAGATACAGTTAAGTCTGCCTCATACCTTGACTTCCATCTAGAAATTGACAATGAGGGTTGGTTGTAAACAAAACTTTAGGACAAAAGAGATGATTTCAGCTTCCCAATTGTGAACTTTCCATTTCTATGTAGCAACATTCCAGCAGCGCCTGCATACGGAGTATATATATCTCCCAATTGATAAGATATTCCCGGGCTTGTATTTCCTATCATGATTTCCTTGATAGAGGATTGCTGCTCACAAGGAAGCTATTAAACCAAGAGTTCCAAATGGTGAAGTTGAAATCATCCCTTCGTAAATTTTACGGACGCCATCACGAGTTGGTTGACCGTTATGGAATAACCGTTTCACAGATGATATCGGATATGTTCCTTATGTCGTAACTACAATACCCTTCCCTTTTTACGAATGTGACCTACCAAATTAGACTATTAACCGGATTTGTAATAAAATAAGCAACATGACGGGTGCCACATGTGGAGCAGGATCTGCTTACCCCCAGTTTTTGGTGGGGTTCGTGTTGCTGAGTCTTTAGTTTTCTATGTTGTGTCATCTGTACTATTATTTGTCTATTTGTCTTTTTATTTTTGGCCATGGCGTTGTCAGTTTGTTTTTCGATCTATGAGTTTGACTGTCCCTCTGGTATCTTTCGTCCCTCTTTTAATGTTCACTAAAGAATAACACTTTCTGTGTTGGGCTTTTATAGGACAGCCTTTACCCAAAATCCTGATTTTTGGCTTTAGTTGTTTTCCATACTTTCAGAAGGTAAGCTGTTTGATAGTGATTTCAAAATTCAAGCATTTTAAATAAAACATGAACAGATAAGAGAGATTCTCCTTTATTCCCCTAAATTATGAAAAGAGCTGTGTTAGACAACATATTGTCTTCAATTGGAGCAGAATGGTATAGTATGATACTATATAGTAAAATTTTTATGGCCACTAGAAATGACAAGTTACTAAGAATTTAACAGATTCTGCTTTAAAGATAAACACTAACAAAGCCTTGGATTGATACATAACAATGTGGTAGGATTAGTTTATTGAACATTTAGAAATTCCCAATATCTCCCACAGTTGAACCATGTTAATGTAAATACTAATATCAAAGGAATCTATCTTCTACTGAAATAGTCTGCAAATTATTTGAGTATTATAGTGTTTTTAATCCCTCTACAAAAAAATTATATTAAATAAGATACAAATTTACTAGGAATGTTCTATATTTACATTAAATTTTTCAGATTTTTTAAGATTTGTAACAAGTCCAATATTCAAAACAGCCTGAACACTGATAATAAATGATGTTCTATCAGCCTTTTGATTTTCAAGAAAATAATAAGTTGAAGCTGCTCTTCCAAGATATATATTGTCTAGGTACACAATGTAGTAACTGACATCTGATGGATTGCTACACTCCCATGATACTGCTATGGTACTGTCAGCTTGTGTTGAGATTTCTATGTTGGAAATGCTTGGAATTCTGAGTTGAGATAATGGAAACAACTGTGGAAAAAAGAACATTCTTGTAATTCATGCACTTAGCTGATGGCAAAGAAGAGAAAAGAATAATCCCAATTTAATTGTCATTCTGCACAATTTTCAAGCTGTTAGCTCTTACTGTTCCCAAATAAATGTGCGTGAGAACATCTATTTTGTTTGCTTGTTTGTAACATATCACCAGATTATTACTTACAATGAACAACATGACTGGTGTTACTGGTTGTGTTGTTAAATGTTTATTTTAGGTCTGTTTATTTTCTTCCATGCTGTTGTTAATTTTCTTTGACTTATCCTTTTGTTTGCCCCCTTGATATCCTCTTTTTATACCCCACAGAACAAAGAGTAAGGACATACTATGTAGATGTGCATTTCAACAGGAAATTATAATTCATATTTTTTCTAGAAGTTATGCCCCGTTGAGCATAGAATTTTGGCTTATATATACTTCTGCAACAGTTTATCATCGCAAATTCTCTGAATACACACAACAGAATTTCATGAAACCTTGTAGATTAAAAGGACATAATATGTTTATGTGCATATCCCCCAGAAATATTTATCAGTTGACTTTTGTAGGAGTTATGAGTCTATGAACTTAGGAATCTAGTGAGATTTTGTTTGCCCAGTGACAACGTGGGGGCGTGGGGTATGTGAGCTTGCTCACAAAGGGTCCTTAATTTCTGGAGTATCTTGACAATTTCTTTGTTAAGTCATTGTAAAATGACATTAATTATAGCATTTATAATAACAATTATGTAATTTTCAAACCAACTTACAACAAAAGCTACTGGTAACTCATTTATTGCCTTAAACATATATAGTCACATACAATCACACTGTAGCAATAAGCAGGATATTCCAGTTTAATGAAATTGCACACTCGTCCCTAATATGAATTATTACCTGTATTTGACCTATATTAATGATTTCCTTTTGAGAGGATTTGGATGATAATCCACACAATATTGAGGTTAATGCAAAGTCTTCTATCTGTTCCTTATCCAGTATATACCACCTGTAAAAAAAAGTAAACAGTAAGTTAGATAAAACAGATATTTATATATATATATATATGTTTGATTGAACCATAAATTCCTTTAGACAAATAAACATGTTTGTAAAGATTCTTTGGCCTCTATGGCTGAGTGGTCTGAGTAGTTCATCTACTGTATCACTAGCCTGCCAACACTGAGGTGTATTAAAACCCCTAACATGGTAGGTGCGTTCAACTATAATCTTAATTGACTTTGATTGTCAGTTTTTATGTCAGTGGTCAGTAGTTCTTTCTAGCTTCCTCCGCCAATAAAAACTGACCGTCAAGATATAGCCATTAGTGCTGAAAGCGGTGTTTAACACCAACAATCAATTAATCATTTAAAGATACTAATATGCTTAACATATCTAATGATTTGATGTGGGCTGACATACTGTCCAGTTTTTTAGTGATTCATGTATACTTGTTATGCATTCAAATATCTTGGCATATGAATAGTAACAAGTTTAAAGTTATAACTGTTAAGAGATGCTCTGCACATTGATTGAGAGAAAGAAAAAATGGGTGCCATGTATGTTCTATCTTGTATTTTAAGGGTGAGAAATACATTATGGAAAAGGACGGATGGAAGCCACAACATATTTCTCAATTTTTTTTGAGAGAGAGCATAAAATCCTTGCAATTTTATTTAGTAATATTGATATAGTAATTATACCACCTATCAATTTCAACATCAAAATATTTGTGTATGCATATAAATTTTACCTAGAAGTCCAATCACAATCCTTTGCTGGAAGACAAATCTGATTAAGACATTCCTTCAGTACATTCTCAACAGGCTGGGGATTTACAATCACTTTACCACTTAGTCTTGGCTTCTTCTTTTCGATAGAATCATTAGTTGTGTCACTGTCACTAATATTTGGTAGCTGCACTTTCTGTTCAGTTTGGGACAAAAATATAAAACTTTTCTTTTCATTTTGTCTTTGACTTTCTATTTCTAGAAATACTTCATTATCTCCCTTAGTTTTGTAAGTGTAACTCACAATGTAAGACTCCTTAGGTTTACAGTCAAGGTCAAATAATCTACAATAGAAACAAATTTTAAAGCATATATAATTTGAGAACATTTTTCATTATAAGAAACATTTATTTATCTTGCTTGAAATTTAACATGAGATGATTTAAAGCTGCTAAAACCTCAAGCATATTACATGCATATAAAAGATGACATAAAGAGATTGACAATTCCAAAAACAAATAAATGGAGAATGTGTCTATGGGTCACAGATGCCCCCGCTTGTAAATACGAATGAGTCAACTTCATAATGCAGGTTCAGGACTCACGAAATTAAGACCGTTTTGTGATTATAAGCATTATGTATAAGTTTCATAACATTTGGTTGAGGCAAACTAAAGTTAGAAAACGGAAATGACAGATATAGCAATTTTTCCATTTATAAAGGGGCATAACTCTAGAACGGTAAAAGTGACACCACCCAATTTTAAATTGATCTGAGTTTTGTGGTAATAAGCATTGTGTATAAGTTTCATAACATTTGTTTGAGGCAAACTAAAGTTAGAGAACGGAAACTAAAAATTCAGCAATATTTATGTTTATAAAGGAGCATAACTCATGAACGGTAAAAGTGACGCCATCCAATTTTGAACTTGATCTGTGTTTTGTGGTAATAAGCATTGTGTATCAGTTTTATAACATTTGGTTGAGGCAAACTAAAGTTAGAGAACGGAAACAAAAAATTCAGCAATATTTATGTTAATAAAGGGTCATAATTCATGAACGGTAAAAGTGACTCCACCCAATTTCGAACTGGATATGTGTTTTGTGGTAATAAGCAGTGTGTATAAGTTTTATAACATTTGGTTGAGGCAAACTAAAGTTAGAGAAAGAAAACCAATTTTGGGGACGTACACGACAGACGGATGGGACTGACAAGGGTAACACTTAATGCCCCCTCCGCTACAGAGGGGGCATAAAAATTATTTGAATTAAAAAAATATATCTTTTTCAAAAAAATAGAAGTGAAAATGCATGATAACAAAATTCATATGCAAAATGCATATTTGAAACTATAGATCTGGAAAGTTTCAAGTAAATTACAAAAGGATGACCTGACAACAGTGTACATCTGTGCTTTCTTTAAATATGCAAATCTGTATAAGCACACATACCCCATGCCCTTGAATCAATGAAAAGATGGATGTCACAAGGTTTCCATTTTAAATTTTTATGAAAATGAAATTTGTTGAATGTTGATAAGGACTGATGAAAAAAGGTTCTTAAAAGAGAGGAACTGATATAATTAAATTTCTGTTTGTGAAGATGTAGGTTGGAATAAAGTGCCTTCAAAGACCCGACCCCATCAATTATTTCCTGGAACAAGCCTAACAATAACCCTTCAATAGACAACTTTCGGGTTTGTTGCATTTCCCTTAAAAATGTTGGTTTTAGTGAACATCATTCGTGCGTAAAGGGGCATCGTCACTTCCTTCCCATGTTGAGCAAAGGTTGAAAAATATAATACTGTATTGCACGAATTATTTGGCAAATTAAATTCTTATAATTGATAATCAGCACTGCTGTCATAAGGAAATTGTGATTAAGTACCTACGGAACAAACATTTTTTCTAGTTTATCCTGCATAATGACAATCACTAAGATGCTTGATAAACTTTAATAGTGCAGGGATACAGGCGATCCCCTCTATCTGGTAAATGTTGTCATAAAGGCGTGCATAATGGACGAACTTTTCCAGTGAAGGACAAAACTCGAAAGTGGTCTATTGAGTTTGAAGGATATCTGACAATAAAACAAAGTCTATCCAAATGACACAGTTAGGAATGTGATTTTTGTAAGTTCTATATACAATTTTCGTCACTTCCTAATTTTTATACAAACTGGTCATTGATTCAATGAACAAGTGACAGTAACATCATTAATAACTTCTTGCAGTGAACACATGCTATCACCAAGGTTACACAGTTTTGAAAATTTAATTAAAAAATATTAATATTTCAATATACCTACTTTCAAAACTGAATCATTTGTTTTGAGGAGTAACAACAGCCAAAAAGGTCAAGTTATTCCATCTCAATTATTATCCCTTATGTTAGAATTTAAACTCCAGTGAAACCAAAAGGTGTTATAATAAAACCTATTATTCTGAAATACTAGATTAATTTTAGAAGGATATAAAACTGACCAATCTGGTCCTATTAAAGGTAATCTAACATTCAATGACCATTGTCCACTAACGAAGGACCAAATCTAGGAATGAAAACAAATTATACCTGAATAACTGTGGAATTCCAGTAGATGGTAACTCTCCGTTGTAACTAAAACAACATCCTCCTAAATATGCACATTCAAAACAGGGCTCCAGAGCAGGGAGTTCCTGAGGAGCTATCACTATCTGTTTCCTCCTATAATATGGCTGAACCTCTTGTAAACTTAAATTATACCAAGGATTCTCATTACAGACCTACAATGAATTCATTCAACTAAGTATGAAATCATATTTGTGAAGTTCATTTATAGCATCCAGTTACATATCAGAAATATAAAACTATAAAACCAAATCCAATGGCTATCTAAAGAATAATTTGTTGACCAAACAATATTTCAATATAGATTTTGTTTTCGTATCATTTCACCAATTCAGATAAAGAATTAAACATTGAATAACGTTGTACAATCTAAGTTTCTAAGTAAATAACAACTCAACCAATCAGTTAGGACTTAATCAATAATGTTCCCATAGTGCAACATTATTTTTCAAATAGTCCACTACAGATAAGCCAACTAAGTAGGCACATTTTTTCATGTGAATATTAGACATATGTTCTGTATAAAATCAAGTTTTTTCTTTTATGATAAAATATGAAAAGAATTGAACATTTTTTCTTACATTTCCTTGGAGATAAAATTTACGCCCTGCTCCAATGCAAAAGGATGATGACAGAATACCATTCGTCCAGACTGAAGTAGGACATAAATCACTCAATAAATCCCAAAATCTAAAACAAAATATTTTTTATTAATATTAAAAAAATCTCAAAATATTTCAATCAACATTTAATTTATCAATTGTCCTGCACTTCTTATAATTCTAGTGTAATGATTAACGAAGTGATCAATTAAATAAAGTTTTCCATGTATACGTTTTGACAAAATATAGTATATTATCATAATTAGAATATTTCAATAACCTGATAATTTAAATGTTATCATATTCATTGTCCATTATTTTGAAGCAATAAACATTTCTGACTATCAGTTTGTGCCATGAAACAATATAGTCCCAGTATCCAGTAAATCTTATCTGTCAGTGACATTGAACATTTGTCTAACAAAATCCCTAAAAGACTATTATCTCAGTGCTAATGCAAATAACAAACCAAATAAGTAGTGAAGTATCAGTTATGGGTTTTTTCCATGTTAGCCATTTAAAAAACAATAAAGATTACTAACTACTACTACGAGAGTGTTTAACAACCATGGCTGGCTATAAAGCCCTCACACAGTCTGTAAAGATTACCATAACATATGTTAGTTTTTTTGTTGTCGTTATTTTATTAAAAAATAATTTAAGTAATCTTATATATATAAATGCAGATTTTACGGCAAAGTCTGGAATTTTATTTGATCATTTTTTCAGATTGTACCAAATCTAAATCAGATAATAAGAAAAGCCATTTAATGGGCAGGCTGTCACACACCTTGAAACTCACAAATAAATAATCTTTTCCACTTTAGCACACTACTAACCACTTAATAACAACACCTTTCATGTTTTTATCAGTAATGTTTACAAAATTGTGACTTTCCAGCTAATTTTCTCATCAACAGTTTTTCACTTATTTCATCCAAATAGAAATCATTATGTTGATGTGTTAAGTTTTTGGGTCATTGAGATGCTGTTTCATTGTCATAAACCCTTCATACCTTTTAATCTTATTACTGCACTTCACATGCTGTTTTGATCAGTTTAGATCCATTAATAAGGGTTAAAATGAATTTATCAATAGATTTAGGGTTACCTAGGTTTTTTTTGGTCATACATTTAACACAGGCAAAAATTTGTCCACCATTTGGACACAGATTCATAAGTGAGTAATAAAAATACTAAGAAAAATCATGTTCATTGAGTAATTATCATGGTACAAAATGAGTTTTGTCGATTTTAAATGGGTTGGCCTTAAAAATAACCATTACAAATTATTCTTTTTATAGAATTTTGGGTTAACTGATATACGAAATTTTAATTTCTCTCTTAGATTATTCACACCTGTTTTCATTATCAATATAGTTGTCAACACCACAACACTCATACACCCATCCAAAGGCAAATATGGCAACAGACATATTATACTGCCTTATTGCTGTCAATGCCTACAATTTAAAAGTTTCAGCATTTAATTACATAATGTTTTTTGCATGTAAAACAGAAAAAGAAAATCCTATTTTGACTGTGTAGTCAGCATATTGAGGAATTCAAAATTAAAACAAATTTTGAACTAAAGTAATTAATAAATGATATCTTTCTCTTTTCAATTTACATATTGTGCATTTGAATCACCTTACTTTATCACTGATTAATACTAAAAAACCAAAATATATGATAGCTCTCCTCTAAATGGTTATACAATATGTAATCAAAACCTCAATGGAGTTAAATCCACCTCCACCCAAACAACCACGACCAAATACATCTAATCCAACATAAACATCACGAGGTCTGTCTTTAGACATAGCTAGAGCCATGGAACTGAGTAGCTTTTCTGAGTTCCAGTTGTAATTCAGGAAAATACCATCACAAACATCAAAGAACATACTGAAATAACAAACAGAATTAATGTATGTCTAAACTACCAATAATTTTACATGTATTTTTATGTGTAAGGATACATTTTAGGTGCTCTCAAAAAAACAAATAAAATCTTTTTTTACATATCAACAGTCCAAAATGAGCCCAAAATGTTTAAAGTATATATTATAAGATGTCTGCTTTTAGAATAAACATATTGGAAATATCCATTAATACTTAAGTATGAGACAGAATCATATTTAATAAACAGATATAATGCTTTGAGTAGGCTTGCATTCTTTGTTATTATCTAGCATTATCTTAATCAACCAAGGTTTGTTATTGGAAATGCTGAATACTGAGTTAAAAAAAAATTATCTGAATTTTTATTTTGCATTTTCTTCGTTCCTTTTCTTATTTGACTGTGTTAAAAGAAGTGGTATGAGTACTCAGAAAATTAGACAACCCTATCAAATGTTAATGTGACTATCCTAAAGTGAAATAAACTGCTTCGTCGAGCGCAGCTGGATACGACCGCAGAGGTCCAACCCTGAACAGTTGGGGCAAAAATGGAAACAATATTCAAGCTTGATACAGGTCTGAATTTGGATTGAAATTAAATATTTGACACATTATAGGTTTCTGACACAGATAAATGTAGTCAAAAAACTTGAAATTGGTTATATGATTTGAATTGATATTCAATTGAAGATTTCTTGTTATTGTGCAATACACTGTGCTGTTGCGCAATACTTAGTAAATCTGTTTTCAGACTATATACAAAGAAGAAATTTTCTTTTTGTAAAATGTAGTACAATTTAAGAGACATCCATACACTTAAACAAGTTATTGTCTGAAAACTAGAAAAATGCTTGTTTTAGACCCTTTTTGGTCCCTAATTCCTGAACGGTTTCAGAAATTAGCTGAAAAATTAATCCCAACCTTCTACTTGTGGTATTGAACCTTGTGGTACAATTTCAGAGCAATCAAAATACTTATACACAAGTTATTGTCCTGAAACTAGAAAAATGCTTGTTTTACTAGACAAATATCTTCGGACGACGACGACGTGATAGCAATATACAACCCTAAAAAATTTTTGCGGTTGTATAAAAACTAGTTGTTCTCAATTATTACAGTTCTCAATCAGTTTTCTGTTTAGGGAATTTGTGTAGATGGTAGATCTCTGGTTATTTTTTCTGAATTCCTTTGCAACTTATCAAAATTAAAGTCAACTTTGTCTATCATTGAAGACAGCATTTTCATTACTTATTAATACAAATCTTTTGAATCTTTTTTACAAAGGTTTATTTAAAACTACTTGCCAGTTTTTATCATTGAGTGCATCCTGCCACGTAAGTGCTCCCGTATTAATGACACTATCATACCATATCACTTCAGATCCTGGTACAGTCTCATGTAGCTTCACTGTTAGGTATTCCACAAACTTACATAAACAAGGAACCTTTTCTTCCTTAAATACAAAAATAATGTGCACCTCAGAATTGAGGGTTATACCTTGAAAAAACACTTTTTAAAGACGAAGACTGAAATCAATTCCTTTTATAATTATTATAATTACTCTTTTAGCATAGTTGAGTTGAAAATACCATAATTCTAATCAATATTAGAATGGAGACCTGAAAGATGAAAGAGTTCCAAAGCTAAATTATTTTATTATCTCCCCTTGATTATTACAAATCATTATGTATCAAGGCTTGGATATTTACCGAAGCCAAACAAATAAATTTTAATGCAAAATGACTGCAACATTGCCAGCCATATTGTTTTCTAAAATTATGATCAAAAGTATACAATGGTTCAGTTGCAAATAAAAAATGGACTGATCTAAAATAATTGAGACAGGAGCTGAGAAAACAAAAGTTATAAGCATACTTTATCCTTAACTCACATACACTCAAGCTTAAATATGCAAGAATATCGTTTAATAAATTTAAAACAATGCATGACTTGCATTGATTGTAATATTTTAAACTTTTTTGAAAGAAAATTACCACAATTTTATTTTCTATATTTATCAGCCATCCATCAAATCTGTAAAACTGTGTAATTTTGACCATTTGATCTGCAAGTGCTTGGTATGAGGACTCTGATGCTAAAAATTCTTCACATATTTTGTACCCATCATTCCATTCTGTTATCAAAGTTCCTGTAAGAAAAAAGGTAGGTATATAAGTGACAAATTAAATGGCAATTTCACAATATGTAATGTTTTTTAACCTGTTGAATAAAGTTTCAAACGCTAAGCTTTTTGTCCTATTAATCAATAAATAAGAAATTTCATACTTTTGAGTGCCAGCTAGGTCTTTTAACAGATAAAAAAACTTAAAAGCTGGCATGCTAATAATATCAGACAGAACACTGCTTATAATTTTGAAACACTATGAAAGTCCAAACATTTATTTTAAAGGTTTATATAAGTAGTACAGCTGTCAACTGTCATTTTCTACACATCAGTCATATTTATACATAATAAAGAAAAAGTAACAATAAAAGGAAAATTTTGAGGGTTTAACTTACAAGCATTTACTTTTTGATATTTTGTATTTCTCATTAGATTTAACTTGGTGAGAAGTTGCAAATAAATTTATGGATTTTTGAGCAACCAATATTTACCTAAAGATTAACCAATCTTATTTTACCTAACATTTTCACACCATTTCTATGAGCTACATTTAACCATGTGACAAATACATTACCGAACATTTTCATGCCATTTATATGTGCTACATTTATCCATGTGACGGGATACATTACCTAACATTTTCACGCCATTTCTATGTGCTACATTTATCCATGTGACTGGTGGAATGGTGATGAAATGATGACTGAAGTAAACAAATGAATCAATCAGCTGCCAGTGGTAAAAGTTATAGCTTCTCTCATTCTTGTCACCCTGGATAAATCTGTTAAATATAAATAATCAAAATGTCAAAATATGAAAACCTTGAATTATTAGATCAAATATAAATCCTATATAGAATAATTTGTATTATGTCTCTTCCAAGTATACATATATATGATAGTCTTGTATGTTTTTATAATTTTCGTTCATTTATATGTTTCAGAGTTCAGTGTGACGTCCATTTTCAATGAACTAGTAAACATTTTTGTTTAGGGGCCAGCTGAAGCCCGCCTCTGGTGCGGGATTTTCTCGCTGTGTTGAAGACCCATTGGTGGCCTTGGGCTGTTTTATGCTCTTTGGTCGGGTTGTTGTCTCTTTGACACATTCTCTATTTCCATTCTCAATTTTATATATAAGTAACACTATTCTCCTTGGTTAAATTTGGGTTAGTATTAATCATGTTTTGTACAAGAATTGTGAAATAAAAATTGTTCAAACTAATTATATTCCACTTTGATTGGGTATTTTATCAAACATACAAAGTTTACAAATTCCTTATATAACCTGGAGTGATATTCATGACTGCTATTGACCAGTGGACAAATCTAATACTGATTTTTTTTCAATTTCAGGCCCAAGATGAGTCTCTAATTGTACTTTGGAATAACACATTTGTTTTTAAAATGTTCAGTTTTCTAATTAGGCATGTTTTTGAAGAACTTTCTACATAACATTGACATTTTGTGTTCTTTCAATTCTGAACAACTCAATGGTTGGATGCACACACAACATGACCTTGCAGATTCTCTAAAACATTTTCTGATATCTGTTACTAAACAAATACAAACTGATCAGTTTAGTATACAACAAATCATGTATGAATAACTCATCAAAGATGAAAAGATTTTTTTTTTATGCTTTTTTCTACAATGGCACTTTAAAATAAGTTATAAACCTGTCTTCAAGGTATCCTCCCCTCATATCATGACAAACAAGTGTTTTTGGTACTGTTTCATCAGTGTGGGGCCTCTCTCTTAAACATTCTGTACCCTGCTTCATCTTGTTTGGAATACCCTCATCTGTCCAATTTCTTACTTCCTCCAAAGTCTTCAGAGGGTGACATTCCATGTCAGATATTGCCTATTCAAAATATCATTATCATTAATGTAAAAGCATAACGTTTTTCACTTTGCTGTTTTTCCATCTTCATTGTAATTTCTAAAACTAAGGTTTCAACTCCCTCAGGCAAAGTTGATCTTAGATGAATTTGGCTATTTATTTTAGGTATTTTTGTTATATAGCTCTTCAACGGTTTCGGTACTTATACATCCTCGGATTTCAAATATTTGGCTTTGAGCGTTCCTGATGAAGGTAAATCCAGAAAAGCGCTTCGGACGCATGAAATTATTAAACGTGTTGTTTTAAATTTTTTCTAGAAAATCTCATTTACTGCTTACATATCATGTTTTCAGTTGATCTTTTATAATGTTGATGACAAGTACATGACTACAAATGTGTAAAACAAGGAATTATTTGGAAATTTGATAAGAAATATATGACGAAAATTAACCCAATTTAGGAGGCATGGCTAAGGGGGGTTAGTTAGTTCATACTGAAATATCTGTGAAAGTAGAATTAACCTTAGCCATGTGCGCATGACTTATAAACCCTATTTAGTTGGGTTAGTTTTCATCTAACATTTGTTATCAATTTTCCAGAATTCAAAATTATTCCAGAATCAAATAATTTCTTGTTGGAAATACTGACATATTTGAAGTCAAAAGCACCTGTTAGTTGATTTGTTACTTTAGTGTTTTGAGTGAATGAAGTTCTCTCATATTTAGAAAGTGTGAACATTATTTGCATCACATCTATCAGGACATTAGAAGATTACAGTTAATGGGCTGACCTGTATTTGACAAATTGATAAGTTACACAAATGTAATAGTTGTGTCTCTGTATTGCTCTCATGTCAACAATGCATAATACTGACTTAATCAGTGAAATAAGAGGAGTGACCATCATTAAAATTTTGAAATTGAATAAAAGGAGATATAGGGTAAACATCAGAGAAAGCAACCCTGTAACACATGCAAATGAAAACTGGTATATAGAAGACATCTCTGAGTCAATGATGAACAAGGGCCTCCACATTAGTACGAATTCTACATTTTTTAATGTACTTTGAATTGATTTTGTGGGTTTGTATTTTTGTTTTGTTACCCATCTTTAGTTTGTTTTCTGTGTTGTTCTGAATATAGTGATGTTTAAATTTTTGTATTTTTATCTTTTTGTCAAGTGGTAGTCTTTTTTTTTTTTAACTTACCATTATATAGGGAGAAGTGGTAGGATTGCCAATGAGACAATTATCCAACAGATTCCAAATGATGTGGATGTTAGCAACTATAGGTCAACGTACAGCCTAAATTAGCAAAACCTGTACTATATACTTAGTTATAAAAGACCTGACTTGACAAAATAATATTTTCTATGTTTATAGTTTTCTTGTGTATGTATCTTCTTACTCTTTTCTGTTGTACTTTCTATGGTAAATATCTACATGTTCTTACCTGTTGTTCTGACATTTTAAATATCTTGAACAGGGATCTTATCAATCTGTTAACATACAGCATACATGAATACATACACCTATTCCAGGAAACTTGAAGTTGGTAGAATATACTTTACATCTATCCTAAAATCAGAATTTTGAAAAAAAATGCATAAACATCATTTACTGGCAGATATATTCTCCTAACTAATAAAAAAATAAGGATATCTTTTATGATTGCAAATGAGATAACTATTTACCATGTTTACCAAAGACCAAAATACAAGCTAGGATGGGAACAACTACATGTTATTCTCGAAAGTAGGAAAGAAAGTCACAGGACAAAAAGTTACAGACAAAAAGTCAAGGACAAAAAGTCACTGGACAAAAAGTTAAAATTCAGTTTTGAGATTATTTTTTTTACATATTTGAATAAGAAAATATTAATTTAAAAAAAAAACATTTTTGTATTTTTCTTGAAATATATAAAACAATTTTGTAAAAAAAAAATCAATAATGATCAAATAAGTGTTGAGAAAACAATTTGTCAAAGTGGCTTGGTTCTTAAATGGCTTCATGGTGCCAAGAAATATATCCTTTGCATGATTAACATTTGATGAATCTTAATTCATAATGGCTTAGAAATAACAATTTCCTAAACTGTAAAATTAATATAATAAATTGTAATATAAAGAAATCATTTCAAGAACTTTTTCTTGTATATTCGAACAATTATAAACAAATTATTTGTGACTTTCTGTCCTGTGACTTTTAGTCCTGTGACTTTCTGTCCGCTTATAGTTATTCTCATGTACTATAGTGATTTTGTGATTATTAGTCTTGTAGTATATTTTGGAGAGAGTAAAAAACAACACATAATACTGGAATAACCATTTTATCAGTTTATATCAGCAATGTTTGATTAATACCATATTGACAAACCACTAGTATTGTGATCGCCAAGGTAATCATGTAATTCCCTACAATTACATCCCAGCTCCTCTGTTCTACCAGTGTGATCTGAGCTGGATCACCCCTGCCAGATCACCCTAGCTTGAGTTTTCTTTGTTCTGCATGCTTTCCTTAAATTTTGTTCTGTAACATTTTAGCGGGAATGTCAAATCCACAATAAAACTGAGAAATAGTTATACGGAAAAGACTTACGATCAAATTTTGTGTAGAAAAAATCCAGTATCTATGCTGGGAATTGAACTCAAGACCTTTAACATATAGACCCACAAGTCATACCCCTACACCAGGACGACTGGATACAAACTCTCTGTTAATTTAACATATTTAAACATTGTGTGCGTGGCTTATAAACTGCGTACATGTATATATAGTATATTAAAATGATTGTGTGGTGTTCTAAACTAGATTTTATGAAGCGTAAATGGGTTTTTATCTAATCTAGAACAGCTGGGATGTAAAATAGTTATCCATTCGGACTTGGTGTGTCAGTGTAAGATCACCCTCTGGCCTCCGGCCATCGGGGTGATCTTACACTGACACACCGCATCATCATGGGATTACTCTTACTGCCACACTGGGTATAAGTTGCAGTGCTGTCAAGTCTCACGCAAATTGAGACTCCGCACTTTCATGCTTATTTAGTGGCATTTTCCTTTGATCTATTGTTTTTTCTCTTTGATCTTTACAATTTTTGCCAAATCTCACGCATTTGCTTCCTGAAAACTTGACAGCTCTGTATAACTGAAAGTAAAACACATTGAATATTGGCAAATAATTAAGCTTAAAAATTATGTGTTGCTACAAACGGAAGACAAGAAAAGGGGGCTTTGTATTCAACTCGTGCAACTTTCACTGTAGTTAGCAGTATAGTACAGTAATATGATATTGTAGCTTAACTGTGAATACACTATTACTACTGAATAAATTATAAATGACATTAGCAACTATGTCATATCACTGTCACACAAACCATTACCTGATTACATAAGACCAACTACAAAACTTGTTTACCGGTTGTTGACAAATTATAGTTGTCTCCCCTTCTACAGTGAATGGCCAGACTGGTCGTAACTCGAATAATTCTGCGCCTACCTATTAATGTATCAATCGGAGATTAGTCGGAGATCGGCGGAATATAACGACTGACACTATTCGGGTTAGACTGGTCGAGACAAGTTAATATGGATAATTATAAACTATGAAGGTGTGGATAGGGGTTTACAGAATAATGGGCAAAAAATATAAAGAATAGAGAAAAATGGACCAAAAAAATAAAAGAATAGAGAATAATGAGGTGCTACAATATAAAGAATATAGAATAATCGACAAAAAGTATAAAAATAGAGAAAAATGGCCTAAAAAATTAAAGAATATAGAAATGAAGGGGTGACACAGGGGTTTTCATTTCCCAAATCCCTCTTTTTGGGTGAAATTTTTCCCACTTCCCAAATTTTTTAGACCATTTTTCCCACTTTCCACTTTTGTTCCAATTCTCCCAAATCCCAGATTTTGGTTTTCCATAGTGCCCTATTTGGAGCCATCCAGACTGAGCTGTTTTCTTGTCTTGTTTGCTCTTTAGTATGTACAGAACTTATGAATAAACACATATTTGCCTTACTGGTCCAGATTCTTACTACAACCTCAAGAAACAATGTCATTTAAGGCTTTTGTGAAAAAAATAATAGGAAAGAAACCACCAAAGGTGATAAAGCACTCCTGGATGACTATGAAAATAAATGCCTTCAATGCTTAAAGCAACGCCCGTTTACTGATTTAACAGAACACAAAACTTAACTGAACACAAAACCGACAGAACACAAAACCCAAAGCAGGGAATCTTCATCGTATCAGGCACAAAGTGTGATACAATTGATGAACAATTGTTAATTGAGGAACAAGAATTACTGGTGTACAAGCATGACCAATAATGATTCCAATTGGTACGTTGAATGATACTACTGTCTGTTGAAGTATGGAATTTAATCAACAATAAAAAACATAGAAAATGCCACCTAAATATATGCAAAACCATGGAACAAACACCTTTTAGATCGGACGAAGTTTGTGAATTCTCCAGGAATCCCCTCTGTAACACTATATTTACTGTATGGCAATTAGCATAGACCATGTGGTGAAGGAACTATCTCTGAATGCGAAGCTAAATGTGAATTAAAATGAAACACTGTTAGTTTTTTCTAAAATTCTTTACGAGGAACTTATTGACTCTTATTAGAAAACCCCTGTACAAAAAAGCAGTAAATTCAAACACGACGAAGACAGCAACACAGATGTGGAGATATAACAATCTTCCGGGACAAGATAATATATAAAGTGATCTTAAATAATAAATTTTAAAAAGCATTGATTGATGATCATTGATTATTTTTTTAAGCAAAATAGTCTTTTAAATAACTTGGTGTCCGTCTTTGTCGTGTCTTGGAAGATTGTATTATCCCCATAACTGCGTTGATGTCTTCATCCTGTTCGTCTCCACTGTTGTTTTTGCCCTGGGGTTTATACTGAATTCAGATATAGTTCCTTCACCACATGGTCTATGCTAATTGTCATACAGTTAATAGTTTTACAATTAAAGGGGTTTCCTGGAGAATTAACAAACATATCCCCACGTACATCGTCCGATCCAACAGGTGTTTCTATAGTGGTTTTGCATATGATTAAATCGCATATCCTTCTTTCGTTATAGATTCCACACTTCAACAGACAGAAGTAACAATGTTCAAGTTGGAAACATTATATTTGATGCTTGTTCACCAGTTTCTTTTTCATCAATCAACAATTTTTAAAAGTCAATTGTATCAACACGTTGTTTCTCTTTCTGATATGCATACAATGGAAGTGTTCCTGCTTTGAATTTGGTGTTCTGTTGTTTAATAGAGAGTTGTTTTACGATTTGCAGATATTTCTTCCTATAATCATCCAAGAGTGTTCTATCAGCTTGAGTGATTTTGATTTCTTTGATTATTGGCATTTTCACAACTGCCTTAAAAGGCACCAATCCTTCAGGGCGTTCGTATTAAGAACCTGCATTCGTGAAGTATAGATATGGCAAAGATGTGGTTTCTGTACATGCTGAAGAGAACGAAACAGCAAACTCAAAAATATAGATCTATATACACTATGCTGTATTCGATTCCATGACAGGGGACAACCACCAACCAGACACATCATGACCATTCATGCATTTTCACCATTCTTTTTTTTTTGTGGGTTTTTCCACATCCCACATTATGGTCATATCCCACTTCCTTCTTTTTCCCAGATCCCACTTTTTTTTACCCCCTATATCCCACATCCCAAAAGTGTATCACCCCCTAATAACTGTCCCACTAAAATTAAGTGATCTATAATAAGTAAGTTTAATAGATCATAATAAGCAAGGAATGGATTTGTATAGTAAGAATCCTTGTAATAAGTAAGTAACTTTTATTCCTATTCGCAACAGTCATATGTACACTTTTTAAACAATAAACACGAGCTTATGAAAGCCCTTACAACCGACTATAACATTTAAACAAAACATCACAATAACGGCAAAGTTTCATCGAAGTTTGTCTTCAATCATTATAGACATAAGCATACATACACGTGCATACATAACTATCACATAAGATTAACACACATTAGCGTCAAATAGAATAAGCATACATAAGCATCAGATTTAAATAGAGAAGCATACGGACTAAAAGTACTTTTAAAATGTCTCATGAACACGTAAATAATAATATAAAACAAGACATAAAGCACTTTTATGCGAAGCATCATGCAACCACAAGACATAAATCACTCATTATAAGCGTCATATAGCATGAAATGTAGCCAATAAGCATGTATCGTAAAGCAGATAGCAACAATGTAAAGCAGGTATAGCTGATATCAGGAATATAATTATGTCATGAGACAGAAATGTTTGGTATTTGCTGGTACTGCAGAAAAAAATTTGTCCACCATACCAGCTAGATATGGTCGAACGAAGCCATATTTCTGGACTCATTTGGGATTGAATTCCAAAATCTTTGTCTGCACTGTATGTAAACTATAGGATAATCCCTGGTTAAGAACATGTTTTATATTATTTCTTCACAATTAAGAACCATCAAATCCTACAATTTCATTGGTCGGAATTTTTTTTATCTAGTCAGTTATAATTGGCTTTGAACAGGCTTCAGTTACTGCGAGTACTCTTATTTCTGTGCTTTGTTTTTATTGTTTTATGTTAGTTGTTTTTGTGTCTCGTACCGATCTTTTGAGTTGAGCCAATTGCCTCTGAATTTTAGTTTGTTCTTATGTTGTGTTGTTACACCACTGTCTGATGCGGGTTAGCAGGTGACCTATAGCTGCTTACGTTTACGTTCTTTGGACTGTGGTGAATAGTTGTCTTATTAACCACCTTACCAAATCTCTTAATTTTATATATCAATTTACACATTCTAAAAAACTATGGGACGAGATAACCTCTATCTTTTTATAAAAGCTTTTGGGCTCTTTTAGGTCCCGATTCTTTTATATGACTGTAAAACTAAGGCAGTTGACGTTTTTAACACTTTATAAATTTCGTGCGTTAGAAGCGCTTTTCTAGATTTACTTTCATCAAGAACGTTCAAACCAACACAGATTGAAAGCCAGGGATGTATAAATATGAAAAAAACGTTGTTAGGAGTTTTATGACCAAAATCAATCTTAAATCTTAAAAGAATACCGAAATTCCTCTAAAGTCAAATTTGTCTGAGGGACTTGGAACTTTAGTTTCTACTTATTTTCATACTTTATCAACGGGGAATTTTGTTATAAATCATGCCAGAGCCATAGTTTAAAGATAAGAAATCAGGTAAATGACAGTTAAACTTTGATAAGTGAACGACGCAAATAAGGACAATATTGAAGAACAATGAAGTGGACTTTTTTTACCCTTATCAGTCAGTTATACAGACTTTTTTCTAAACGCCTTCACATATTGAGCTTATGTCTAGTATGAGTCTACTATGATGAGTTACAGACTGAGTTTATGTTTGGTTCCGCTCCGCTGTTTTTTGCCGAAATTATTGACTTTGGACTTTGAAATTTTCATGAAAATAACAGTTATATGGATTTTTTTTCTAAAACCCTTCACATGTTGAACTGATTTTGAGTATGTGAGTCTACTATGATGAGTTACAGATGGAGTTTACGTTTGGTTCCACTCCACTGATTTTTGTCGAAATTTAGGGCTTTGGACTTTGAAAATTTTGTGGAAATAACAGTTCTATAGATTTTTTTTGTAAACACCTTCACATTTTGAACTGATTTTTAGTATGTGAGTTAACTATGATGAGTCACAGATCGTGTTTACGTTTGGTTTCACTCTGCTGATTTTTGTTGAAATTACTGACTTTGGACTTTGAAAATTTCATGACAATAACAGTTATACAGACTTATTCTCTAAACCACTTCACATATTGAGCTGATTTTTAGTATGTGAGTCTACTATGATGAGTAACAGATCAAGTTTACGTTTGGTTCTGCTCCGCTGATTTTTGCCAAAATTACAGACGTTGGACTTTTTAAAATTTACACTCCTAAAAATGGCTTCAAGCTTTTTTTGCTATTGGGGCCATTCGTGTTATTCTGACACATCTACTTTTTGAATGATATACAGATACAGAAAGTATTAAGCAACAGAAAACCACAACTGCATGTACTTGAAATTGAAGGTTTTTTTGTCAACTGTAACATCTGGTACCTTTTAGATCTGGCATATGTCTACTTAATGTTCACTAAAGAATAACACTTTCTGTGTTGGGCTTTTATAGGACAAGCCTCTACCCAAAATCCTGATTTTTGGCTTTAATCGTTTTCAATACTTTCAGAAGGTAAGCTGTTTGATGGTGATTTCAGAATTCAAGCATTTTAAATAAAATATGAACAGATAAGAGAGATTCTCCTTTATTCCCCTGAATTATGAATAGAGCTGTGTTAGACAACATATTGTCTTCAATTGGAGCAGAATGGTATAGTATGATACTATATAGTAAAATTTATATGGCCACTAGAAATGACAAGTTACTAAGAATTTAACAGATTCTGCT